AGTTGAATATTTTGTCGTAGGTTATTTTAACAATCCACAAAGGATATTGAAGAGTAGGCGTGTGACACTCATCTTCTTTCATTGTGTTCTCTGTCAATTTGTTTCTCTTTTTCCTTAGTTCTTCATGCTCCTATTTCAAATGTTGGTCTTTTATATCCCAGCTGAGCTGAGAAACACCGCGTGCCAGCACCCGTTTGATGAGATTATTGTGTAACTGTACACAAGAAACACTTCTTTGTAACCCTCCTGTGGCTTCTTTTAATCCTTGGTTTATCCCATAAGTCTATGGTTGGGTGTCATTCAGTTCATTTTCATTTTAAGGTGACTTGTGTCCCTCACGCTCTCTCCCTCTCCCTGTGTGTATCATTTCTCAGCGTTACACAGTCATAGCAGTGATGATTACACATTTTCTACATCAGTGGCTGTGAGTGATCGTAATGAAATACCTGACCAAGCGTGTGGTGTTTACCTGGAACCTGTCCTAAATGTGTCACCTGCCTCTTCCAGTGTCGTCACACTGCTAAATTGTCTGGACAGCTCAGGGAGATATGGCCAAATCATTCTCACAAGCATCGAATGACATATACACAGACACACACACACACACACACACTGCAGGTTGAAGAATTGTCTTCTAGCCCCAAAGTCTGGACAGAACTCTTATCCAAAGCTATTTCAGTTTCAAAGAACAATTTCACGCTGAATGTACCACCGCCAACAAGTCGTTCTGGCTTTTTATTCCATTATATTTGGTGCAACTGTAACATGGATTGTACTGTATTTAGTTTAGACCACATCATTTAGAATGAAACACTTACTTTTTCTTATGTTTGCGTATACTGTAGCTTGTGTTTATCACTTGATCTATTGAAAATGAATCCCTGAAGGAGAACAGGAAACACCATTAGTGCTGCTGCTGCTGCTGCTGCTGGGAAAATGATGTCAGTTTTGTGGATTTCTTTTCCCATTTTATTAAACAAAATTTACTTGAATAGATTTTTTTCTATTTTCAGAAAATAGAAATATTGGCTTTAGTTATGCGCATTCTGCAAAATGGTAAATTTCTGTATTGAATATTTATCCATGTGTAGTATTCTATCATAAGAAACTAAACTAACTGTATGTAATTGGTGAAAGGACACACTCTGCAAGTAAGTTAGTCAGTAAGTTCGGAATAAATTAAAACAATTAATATTTTAAATTTGACAGGCATCATTTCAACAAACAGACTCATCTGGAATTTGATTCTATCTTTTTTCACTAATCAAGGTTTGGATTGGGCAGGGATTGTCTGTTATAATCCATCAGATGACCTTCCTATACTAACCTCACTATTTATTAGGGATAGGATTAGGGAAAGGGACACAGCTGGCTTTAAACGCACGACCTCCTGGCTCAGTCACAATCCAAATAACGAATTTTTTTTAAGTGTGTACCAAAAGTGTGAAAGTCTCATTGATGAAAACTCCAGTTTAACAGTTGATAGCTTTAAAGTCCACCATTTACCATTTCTGGACACAGTTTTCACACTGTTAGATCTTTTGTTAGTTGTAGAATTATTTCTGTCTTCAGGAAATCCCTGCTTATAAATGAAAATTATCTTATATAAAAATAAAGATTCCTTGCTAAATAAACCATGTTAAATGATTTCTAGTATAGTATATTGCTTTTTTAAATATTTTTTTAAATTTTCCTAGTATGATCAGTTACAATAGATGTGCCGTTTTTAACAACACGGCCAGGGCAACTGCAGCACTGCAGCATCATGTGAAATGACTGCAGTAAGCAGCTCAGTGTGTCTCTGCACTGGATCTATATCCCAAGTCAGAGGAGCCATCCGTCACAACCACTGCTCCCTCAGCTCCTACACCAAGGTCAGGAGCGTCGATGCTGCAGTAACAGCTCGTGTGTCTGCTCTGACACTCCTGTCATGAGAAAACACATGCAGACGCACAGACGACCGCAACTTATGGACTCTCTGTATACCTTCACTGGTCGCTTGTTTCTTCATCTGCCCAGCTCTTACACTGAGACCAAGGTCAGCTTCAATCAGACTCCAAATTAGACCACTGTGCTTAACTGACCAGCGGGCCTATAATTGGTGCTGCGGTGAATTAACAAGAAGGGAGAGAATTACAAGCCTTAATTAAAAATCAACACAGCCTCATGCTGACCTTGTCTTACACATTGCACCTGGAGAGGACGGGTGTCTGGTTAAAGTCCAAGCAGCGTGTTTAGGATGCACACAGAATATGGATAGGAAATGAGTGGAACTGTTCTGTTACCGGCTGACACTTAAATTAAAAGCATCTGAGAAATGTCTCTTGCATCAGCACGGCTGTAGAAAATGAGGCTATTTCTCATTGGATTTTCAGCAAGAATAAACATATTTTGGTTAATCATATTGTGTCTCTAGCTTGTCCACGGTTGTTTTAATTGGACATTTCAACAATGTAAACACCATTTACATTAAGATATTAAACAATATCCATGGAAAAAGACATGAGGAGAACTCCTGTCAGTTTACCCTCAGCAGCAGTAGGACAGTGAAACATAGCCATCACTGTATCAGTGTCTGGAAACAGAAGAAGTAGAAGGATCATCCTTATTGCCACCATACATTTACAAACTCAACTACACACAATGAAATTTGTCCTATTGAACCCATCAATCTATTCCTGAAGCCCCAGGCCACAGCCTTCCTCTGTGTGCACTGGGTGGTGCTGTAATCTTACTGTCCACAGGAGACATTGGCCATCCTTTGGTGATTGTTTTCTGTTATTATAATACATTGTTGTTGGTTTTGTTTTGTGGCTCAATTGACCTGTTGTCAAGAAGAAAAAAAATATAAATAACAATATTCCTTAATTTCTCAATTTTTCACATTCCATAGATATACCAGTTTACCAACGTAAAGGAGCAAAGAAACAAGAATGTACGGTCGTATCAGAAGCAGGAGTCAGAGAGGTCGCATTTAATCCTGTAAAACAGCATATGATAAGCTACTCTTTTTAGAGAGAGAGAGAGAGAGAGAGACTCTGTTGTTACCTTGACTTTATGTTAAACACCTCTCCTACAGCAGAGTAATTGCAGAGACAGTTACTATGATTAAAGATACATGATTAAACTTTGGCTGAATCACTGATCTGAAACTGTAAAACAACAGGGAAAGAAACTGCCTACACCTTATTTTTTCGAAGCAAATGACACAAACTGACACAGCCAACTGATGTGGACCCACTCCATCTTTCTGTCCCTCATAACCTTAAATGTATTCAGTGTAGTCGTTGGCCTTTGTAGCCACACACAGTCTGACCAATCCCTTTCCTCTCACCAGCCACTGCCGTCCTCTGTGTGTGTGTGTGTGTGTGTGTGTGTGTTGTGATCAATGGCTCTGTCCTCCCCTTGTGATGTGACACCAGTCAATAGCTTTGATTGGGCGAGCCACGGGCTGGGGTGCCACACAGCAGGACCAGCTTGCTGATGCTGCACCTACTGCTTGTAATGTGCACATGCATGACTGAGTGTCCGTGGGAGAAAAAGACGGATGTGTAGCGGGAAGTAATGATTGTGCTATTTATTACTGCTTACCTCCAGAGGCCGGGACAGGTAAATTACAGAAAGGCCTCGAGGATGTTGTGTCTGGCCAGATGTGATTAACTCTGATGCTGCCTCTTAAGTCCACAGAAGTCCACAGAAAAATAACGCAGCATTAATATTATAACAGCATTTTAAAATAATGTAATCAGGCTTGTAGTCAATATTTGAGGATGGATGGATCTTTGTGTTGGGATACCTATGAATATTTAACAGGGAGTATTTAACTGTTCTGTACAAAGCACAATCCAACTTTGATTCTTGCTCTGATTGTTTGCTCCTAGGCCATGTTCAGCTTGTGCATGGTGGAAAGTGAAGCAGACGAAGTGACACTGCAAGGAGTGACCAGCGTTGGTCTGAAGCATGCTTTGGATTTTGCCTATACTGGACAGGTGAGTATGAACAACAGACAACATACTGTATATCTAAGTACTCAGAGAGTACACAGTTATCTTCAATGCTAGTAGGAAATTGAAAAGTGAATCTGTCCCCGATGTCCTGGATGCCCCGATGTCCTGGATGCTTCATACCCAACGATCTGCACAGACAAGTATATAGGCCCAAAACCATTCAGTGTCTGGTAACATGCCTTCATGGGGGGTATGTACTGCAGTACACCTTTAGACAATATACCTTTGTAAATACACCTCTGCCGACTGTGGTCATATCACTAACGTGGGATTTAGGAGGGACTTGAATTTAATTCCCCACAGCACAATAACCCCAGCAGCAATTTAAATCCAAGGTGAGTGAGGTAGCAAACCTCTGGAGTGAACGTAATCATATTTCAGTAATATATTGTTTTGTCTTCAGAAAAGCTCTGTCCAATAAACAGTCCGCCATATAATGTGGTGTACAGAGAGGCCAGGAACTTTGTAATTGCTCCTAATTTTATTTCCTCAGTGGAAATGAGCGAGGACTGAATCGGTTAGGCAGTGTAAGTAGGTCAACAGCAGGCTTGAAAGCTGTCCTGCTTTGGTTGGCTCAGCTCCTGTCAGCCCAGAGGAGATGATAGCAGATGAGACGAGGACAATATGCTTATCTCCACATCATAACTAATGACCTACTAAAAGTCTTTCAGCCACATGTCATGAGTCTGTCTAAGTAAATGTACAATCAGACTGTATTGATGACAGTGCACTTCAATATTTGTTACCAAAAATTACACTGCAACATGGATCAGGTTTCAGTGAAATAATATAAATAATAAATACATTAAAATGGTTTACTGTGACATTTTATTTTGTGATGTTTTTATCAAAACATTTTATCAAAAACTCATGAATTTATTGTAGCTTAGCAACAGGGTTTGATCTAGCTCCATCTATTTCTTTTCTTTTCCCAAACCTGAAAGAAAAATTGAAAGGAACACAATATCTGTTCTTAAACAAGGGTAAAATCAGGTCATGACCTCTTCAGTTTCAAATTTGAGAAGATATACTCTGATGAAAATGGCATTTGTAATTCTCTACTGTGGTGTAAAAGTGTGAAAAGACTTTTAAATAAAAGGTTTTTATTAATTTGAATAAATGTTAAAAAATACATTGCTGTGTTAGGCCAAAAAGTGAATTTAAAAAGAAAAAAGGAGTCAAAGTACACAAGTGATTGTGATGAGTGATTTTTATTTTATTTTTTTGAAGTTTCCACATTTGAGTCTTATTACAGTCACTGCTCTAGCCCTGATCTGTTCATTGCCTCTGTGGAAACTACACTGCTCCTATAGAATAATTAGCTCAAGTTCAGAAAATGTTTGGCTATGAAAGAGCCTGTTCAACCACCAGCAGTGGCTTCCTGCTGCAGCGTGAGGCTGAAGTGCTTTAAATTGTAGTGTGGGCCAGTGGAGTAGAGCGAGGAGCAGGATGTAGAGAGCTTTCACTCTCAGTTATTACAGTTATCCTTCAAGCTTTGCCTTTGTTCGAGCCTCTGCTTCCTGCCAGCATGTTGATTTGGTCCCACAGAGGAGAGGAAGGAAAGTGTTGGTTAGTTTGGGTTTGTTTATACAACTCTAATAAAAGTGGCTGACAGGTTCACACGTTTGAAAAAAACTGATTGGACAGGTTTTCTCTCTTTTTCTCATTCCAGTCCTGAAGCAGAGAAACACTCACTACTGTTTTCCACCTTGTGATCGGATGTATTGTGATGGTGATTAACTGGATATCTGTCCATGTCTGACAGAAAATGATGCAGTGATAAATGGGTATATGGATATGTGCTGTGTAGATGCTGCTAAATGCATCAAAGATGAAAAAATACTTATCAGCAAATCTCTTTGAGAATTCATGCAGAGTGAGTGGCCTGTTTCCAGAAGAGATATTTTAGTGCTCTAATCAAAATGTGCAACTTCAGATTAATGGTGTAGGCATAACAGGTTAGGCTGAAGTGTACGTCGGATACGTGGTCAGCAAATAAATGAAGTGCAAGTGAATTAAAAGAATGTTCCCCTGAAAAACAACATCAAACAAAGAAGAGATTTCTTCTTTTTACAACAATCATAAATAATGAGCAGGTGTTCTGATTTCCAGCTGTGCTGAAGTCACTGCTCCAGGTGGAAATGTAGGGCAGAGTCTCAGAAACAACCTGATTTTAATCAGTCACCTGACTGGGCTGTTACTCCCACGATTGATGGGATGTTTGACTCCATGTGTTGCTGTTAGACAAATGATAGTTTAACCTCTGTACAGTTCCAATCACCTGGCAAAGCTCCACGGTGGTTTTCATCATCACTGTGCCGTGTGACAGAGCTCTATATCACAGAGGAGTTCAGCAATATGTGGGCGGACGACGCAGTGGTTTTTCAGCCCCGCAGGAGAAGTGTGTGTATAAATATACGTACGTCCCTTTTGCTCTGGGGTAAATCAAGTGTGAATCCTGCACATTGAAAGAACATTTTGGGTTAATCTCAGCAGCCTTTTGGTTTGACCTCTCTCATTATTACTGCTGCTTTAATTGTACATCATTTGGGATATAGATTATTTCATTAGTCCAGACAAAGATTACCGATCAAAGTCATTATAATGGAAGACTAAATAAGACAGAAAACAAACTTCCTGGTTTTGGTCTATTAGTGTACATTTTCTTTTACATGTTTCTAATTAAAATATAATTTAATAATTTAATTTAGGTATTAATATTAATACTAATTAGACATGTTCATATTTTTGTTCCTCTTCATCTTATTATACTGAATGCATTATATTACATATAATATAATGCATTATATTAAGACTGAACCAATGCCATTAATATAATATAATGCATTTATTATATTACATTACATTACATTATATTATATTATATTATATTATATTATATTATATTATATTATATTATATTATATTATATTATATTATATTATATTATATTATATTATATTATATTATATTATATTATATTATATTATATTATATTATATTATATTATATTATATACACATTCTGTTTCAGCAGTTTGTGTGTAAGATTTTTTTTAACACAACAATGCATGTTTAGAATAATACCCAACATGTTTCTTCTGCATTTTAACAGTTGTGATGAGATTATTGTTTTTAGCAACTGTTTGAGTTATTATGGTCCTTTAAAAACTGACTAAACATTAAGTACAGTTTTGCAACATTTACAAAACACTGTATTTAAACATTACATAAATTTGATGGTAACTCTTGGAACATCCACATGTGCAACACAAATGTTGGTGAAAACATACTCTACCACATATGTGATTTCTGAAGGAAACCTGGTGACCTGTTTTATCCTGGTTTATCCCAGATTCTGCTGGAGCCGGCGGTGATCCAGGACGTCCTGTCGGCAGGCAGCCACCTGCAGCTGCTGGGGCCGGTCCGCCCCCGCTCTCACTACCCCACCC